AGTTGGTCTTTGTGACAATAGACTGCTTGATTAGATCAAATTGACATTTAGTACTTGTTTGAATCTGGTGATCTAGTCTGCACGATTGATCCGTTAACTTTTTATCAACTAATTATAGCCAATTCGACTAGTTTGACCAATTTGACCAATTTACATGGTCAAATCGATCAAATTGGTCAAATCGGTCTAGTTACACAAATTTATCTAAAGTATGAAAATTTATTTTTATTACTAATTGTCAAAAATAGATGTCGAAAAGCATTTCACACATGTGATATATTTATTGTTAATTGGAAGTAGTGCCAGATATTAAACTTTATCATAAAATTTTAAAGATACTACACAAAATGACAGGATTCTGCATGTCAATGGAAAGGTTTGGATGCGAATCTCGCTTCTTGTCTGTGGAATACTACTGATAATGAAGTTATGATTAGTAATTATTTAATGGGTAATTCAAACTGAGAAACTGATTAGATTATATTTATCTAAATGTATGTGCTTTCTCATATGTTAACTTTCAATTAATTTGAATTATTATTAATTATAGTCAATTTGACTAGTTATATTGTTTATAAAGAGCATATATATAATTCAAGCATAAATCACATAAACGATTTATTATCATAATTAAATTTAAAGTATGCCTCAAATCTATACTTATAGATTAACAAGATATGTTTATATGCAAAACGAATTGGGTTTAGCACAAAAGACTAAAAAAACTATATATAAAGCTTGTAAAGCTAAAGAAAAAATATTTGAAAAAAGAAAAAACAAAGGTCTTAAATTATGTGAAGTTTATCAAAAATGGAGATTTTTTTATAAATGGGATTGTGTACAATAGCACTAGAAGCAATGTCCATATTGGTGTGAATTTTGGGTTGAAGAAGACCAGGAGTTAATAACATATAAAGACCCTAATAAAATAATAGCGTGAAATGCAGTTGCAGTACTAAGGCATATAAGAGAATGAAATAATTCTTTGGCTATATCTATTAGTTCGATAAATCCTAATACTAGATAGAATATCAAATAATTTAAATCCTAATGATTTAAATCTATTTTATGTTGAATTTTTTATAATTTAAAACATCATCACTGATATTAGTATCATGATTAATAATGCTAATGTGGCAGAGACATAGAAATATTTTAAAATCGAAATTTTGATTAGATATATCTCAACTGCTTAACCAAATTTGATATTTTTTTAGAAAGTCTACAGAACTGTAGAATTCAAATAAAAAAAAACTTTAACAAATTTGATCATGTGGTTTTTGAAATATATCTGATCAAAATTTTAATTTCAAAATATTTTCATATCTCTGTAATATGGCTATTATTGATCTTTTTCAGCAATTTAAACTTTTTTCAGCAATGTTATAGTATTGTCTTTTTACTAAAGCTTTAGTATTACTATATAGGGTATAGCAATGAAAAGGGTCTGAACTACAAAAAAAAACCATTATAAATATTTGTAATAATTTAGATACAGTACACCCTCTCAAATCCAATAAACATAGTAGACAGCTTCTGTATCAGTTTTAAGAGATTGTCAGATTTAAGATACTGCTTGCTGGTTATGTGATTATAAATAAATATATTTGGCTAGATTATATTTATTATATATTACTTAGTTATACAAAGCTCGATCTGAGCCAATTAAATTGATTTATATTGCCTGACAAACCTGATATCTTATAGGTATCTGATCATTTGATATCATTTATCAGAAATGGCAGAGTATCGGGTTTGAATTATAGAACATAGTGGATTAATTTTTTATTGGGTATAACAGGTTATCAGTTTTGGCAAGATCAGTTTTAAGAGGGCATACTGTACTTTTTTTACAATGGTGCTGAAGTCAAAATTAACCAATTAGATGCAGTAATTCTAGCTTCAGCCATCAATACTCTAATCAACGATGTTTTAAAACATTTTAAAATAAGTTAACAATCATAAAAATTATTTTTTGCTACTTCTAATACTAGGGTTTCAAGTGCATCAGAATTAATATCAGTATTACATAATGTTAAATGAATGCGAACAGACCAAAAAAAGAACACACCTTTAGATACTTACTTTGGTCATCCATCACTAATTAATGATCAACATGAATTTAATCATCTACTTCTTCGTATAATAGTCAAAAATGGTCTTTCATTTTGATTTGTTGAGAGCAAGACTTTTCATGAACTCATTGCTTTTTTTAATACAACTATCAAAGTTCCAAACTGACATACAATTAGTAATAAAATTCTTACTGAATATGCCTAAAAAATAGATAATTCTTAAATGTCCACTCTTTCAGAAATGCAGGAACCCGTTACAATTATGTTTGATAGGTAAAAAAATGTGCAACATCAAGAAATTTTAGTCGCAGTTATTTTTTTAGCATCAAATAATGTATTTATATAGGGTGCTGAAGATGTAAATGGTGCTAACCAAAAAACAGCCAATGTATTAAACACAATTCAAACTTTTTTAGAAAGGGCAAAAAACCAAAATTTAAATGTAGTAGCTATGGTCACTGATAGCACATCATCATATGCCTCAGCATAGTATGTTATTGATTCTAATTATACCTGAGGTTCCTTACCTTAACTATTCTATTAAATAAGGTAAAGGTGGTATTCTGGCATTTGTTAATAGTAAAACTCAAATAAAAAAAAAGCCAGTTAACTTGTATTTACACAACTTTTATTAGTGAAGTAACTTCAACACTCAGGAGGTAAAGTAGTAGCAAATCGATAGATCAACATAAAAAATTAACAATCAGCTGTCGCAGTATTAGTTACTCTAATCAAAGAATATTTTTTGTACAATTATCTTGCAACCTACTGATAAGAATTAACTATTTTTTATATCATTCAATTTGCCTTGGTAAGATAATCGAATAGTTGAAAAATCTAAGCATTATCTTCAATATAATTTGATCTATCGCTTTACTCACCTGTCATAATACCTCTTTGCCTTATATTAGTAATATTCTAATTATACCTGAGAAAATTAGAATAGATGTTATTTATCACTATTTTTGTGATTTTTAATTATTTTTATTTTTAATATTTATTATTAGGCATAAAATACGATTACAAAGACCAGACATCGTATTTTTACCTTGCTTTGCATATCAAGCTAATTTATACGTTAGAGATATTTTTAAATGCTCATCAGAATACAAATGTACCTCAGAACAAGCAATTGATATTGTGGTATACTTTACTGATAAAGGCATTCAAAGCAATTTCTTTGCTTTATGAAGAACAATGAAGAATTTATAAGACATATTATAGTTTTGTATGCCCAGTAGTTACACACTGAAACTCTTACTATTACTGTTTTGCTACTCTTCTTAGAAATAAGTGGGCCCTACAATCATATTTAATTTTACATTTAAATTTGAATAAATTATCAAATAAAGCACGATCTGCAATAAATAGCAAGCTTTTTAGAAAAATACTTACGAGATCTCAGATTGCTTGTTACCTTTTATTAGTATTTTAGATTATTTTCAGCATGATGCTGCAAATCTTTTTGATATTATTTATTCATTTGTATATATAGCACAACAGAATGAAGATAAATATGATGAATTTAGCAATACAATATTACAACAACTTGAAAAGTGTGGGCTGATTGGAAACAACTCTTACTTTTTTAGCAGTTATATTTCATCCACACTTTGAGTTCAGGCTTTTTCAAATGCAAAATTTTTTAGTCTTGAGTGAACAGCTCATTGGATTAAGTATTACTATAAGGTGTGATTCAGTAAAAAACCCAACCATATTACATTAGAGTTAACAGAATATTATATGGAGCGAAGCATTTTTAATAATGAACGGTTTGATAATACTGTTGATGTGATTTTAGAAACAAATAATGCACCAAGTATGAAAACTAATGAAGTAATGGTGATGGCCTTATTGTGATATTGGAAATTTGCTGCAATTGACCAAAAGGAAATTAGCAAAGTTGCATATTGATTATATAGTATTAAAGTCAACTCAGCTTCATTTGAACGTCTTTTTTCCTGTATAGGATAGTTTCATAATACACAGCGAAATCATTTTAAAGTAAAAATTAAATTATTAAATACCAATAAATACTATATTTGGTATGGGTTCTTGCTCACTTATTGTTATGATTATTTTTTGTTTTATTTTGTGCGTTTTACAAATTGTTTTTTATTTAACTTTTTGAATAATTGAGTATATGCAAAAATTTGTTATATAGAAAATATAACGGGTCTAGATCAGCTGCTTATATAACTGATCTTATTAGTTATACTTTTTCAGTTACTCAAGATGTAGTTATTACATACAGAGTTTGGAACCGAGTTTATTTTCTATATGTAAAACCGGTTTTAACATATGAAAAATAAACCTAGTTTCAAACTCTATTACATACTTATCATATAATAACCTTAAACGTCACAAGTAGAAATCAAAATACGCATTTTGAAGTTAGAATTTTATATAGTATTTATTATCGTGATATGTAGTGTATATGAGCAGTGCAGTGTTGGCCAATGACATAAGTTATAACATTTTTTCAATATGACCTTGGTCATATAATCATATGACCTTTTGGTTATAAATCATATCAGTCATATCAAAGATTGATAAAAAAATTTTTTACTATGAATCTTACTATATTAAAAGGTCATAAAATCATATCAACTTTCGTTAAGACCAAATAACTGACAAATCATAAAAATCATATAGATAAGATCATCAGCAAACACTGAGCAGATGTGCATACGCTTGTTGTCTATCTCTAGTTGTAGGTTTTATTTTATGATCAATGATAGATATTTTTTGATATGTATAATGCAATAAAACTAGAAATGTAATATAGATAATTAAGTTCTAACAATTATAATCTTAATATTTGCTTTACAGTTAAAATCAGTTTTTTAGATAGCACAAATTGCAGCAGATATGGCATAGAAAGAACACCTAGAAGATATTAAAAAAGTTCAAACAACAGCTACTATGAATCAAATTATTGGTTTAGTTAATAATGAAGGACAAGCATCACATAATGGGCAATCAGAAGCTAGTACTCTTAATTTAAGTGATATTGTACATGTTTCAATGCTTGATGATATTAAAATAATAGTGAAAACTTTTCTGAAAATGCTAATAATGAGAGTGTTAAAATTAATACACCTGATAGTGATATTGATACTGATGATGACTTGATATGCAATAAATCAGTTATTAAAAAATGGACTGAAACTAATAATGAAGATGAAAATAAGAAATTTGAAGAAATCAGTATAAAAATATTAGATACTGCTGATATACTTAATTGTTATCCAGTTAATCATAATAATTCAAAACTAGAACTTCAAAATATTTTTTTGTATTTCTTACCTCCTCCCTCATTTGTTTGTACTCTTCAACAAGATATAGACAATATTGAAGTACCATAGTAAATATGTATACAAAAAGTCACTAGTCTAGAAATTTGGTCTAACAAAGATATTATTAAGTCTTATTAAAATCAACCCTCTTTATAACGAATTGGCAGTTCTTATAGTTAAAAATTTAATAAATATTTAAAAAGTTCATTATAGAATGAGTGCATTAGAATGAGTAAGTGCGTTATAAAGGTTCACTATATCCAGGGTTATATAAAATTGGTAGTTAATAGTTAAGCTAAAAAGCTTATTATCTGTCTGTCTAAATGGGTTTCAAAATATCAGGTCAAAGCATCATGAAAATAATTTATATATTATTAAGTTA